ACGACCGGTGACCATGATGCTGCTGATGCAGACCGCGCGCGCGCGTGCGCGCGGGGCGGGGTTGAAGGGCAGGGGGGGCTAGCGTAGTGCGTATGCCTGACGGCTCACGGTTTAGGGCATAGGGTTTTAGGGCTCGCCAAACTGTTGGCAGCATCTTCGGGGCGAGAATCGGAGCGGCGACCAGGCCGGCCCGTGCCGCCAGGCCCTACAATAAGTGCTGAGTACACCCAAAGACCCTAAAAGAGCTAGCAACCAGCCAGCTTTGACTGGGTATGTGTTTGCGTGAGTGCTCGCGACTGCCGAGAATCTGAATACTTCAAACCGCTGAGACCCGCACCGAGCACAAGCCAAACGGGCCCGACCTTGGGATCGACATCCCCATGTCACATGTCCCAGAACACATGCGCGCACAAGAACAAAAAGGATCCAGCTCGAGAATGTCAAGAACAATTCCACGTTTTGCTGTCGACGCCTGCAAGCAATTAAAGCCACTGAATGCATGAGCACATGGGTCCAGGTCAAAGTAAAACAATGCAATCACAAAGGCTTTCTCGGATTATCTCTGGCCTCAGCGCCTTTAAGCTGAACCAAATCTCCAACGCACAGATGCCGGTGAGCGTGGTAACCAGCTGGCGATGACATAAAGATGCACAGCTGTGGGCTTGATTGAAGCTCCGCAAGCATTCCTTGTGAAGCTTCCGTCGCAAGACCAATGCTCCTGAGCGAATGCATTCGCTGTCAATTGTTGCAGTCGCGGAAAAGTCCAGTACTCCTGGAGTGGCGGAGATGAGTTGAGTGCGTGAACACAAACAGAACAGCATGCACGACAACTGGACAAACCTGCTTGCCCAACCAAGAAATGAACATGCATGGCACATGCAGGCCTTGTGTAAATATAGGCTCTCTGTGTTGTCTTTGGTGCTCGCACCCCTCCATCCCTCCCGTGGCATGGACTTGGACTCTCCTGGCCAACATGACGCGCTCGGTCCATCCCTCCACCCCGGGGTTCGTGCGCAACAGATGGACACCTGCATGAAGAACAGTTTGCCAACATCTGTTTCATGTGTGGGAAAGCTGCTCGGAGCCGGGCCCCTTCCACGCGCAGTGCGGGTTACGACGGGGCCCCTGCTTCCTCTTGCTCTGCTCTGGCATTCTCTTGCAGCTGCTTCTTAAATCGTGGCTGCCGTAGCCGGGCTTGGGCCGGCGGTTGGTATGCGAGCTCTGCGTCAGAAGGGTCCGTGATGGTCCGTGTGCAGAATCCGATCTCCTTGACACCACCCTAGCTATCTCTAGCTCCTGCCTGGCTAGGACGAACTGCCCAAGTCACATAGCAGCATACCAGGCATGGCACAAAGAATTCAAGTCAGAGTCCAGCTCAAGCTGAGGTGAGAACGGTGCCTGAGGAAGTTGCTCGTGCTCCTCCGGAGGTCGTCTCCAGTCGAAGATCCAGCCACGGCGATTCCAAACAGGGTAACCCACACCTACATACCAGTACCTTGACAACTGTTAGTGCTGCATGCATGTCGCATCGCTTGTGGAGCTCCCCGGATGTAGATGCCCGGAGAAAAGAGGAACAGTCCTTCGATTTGCAGCCGCACGACCTGAAGGGTGAACTGCAACATAGTGAGACACGACGTGTTGTCCGCATAATCTCACGAGCCAATCACTCGCAATGGAAGCCAATGTCGGCTGCAGCAAGCGGGAAGCACATGCCTCATTCGATGTGCAGAAGCTCAGGCACATGGCCGAAGTTGGAACGCTACATATATTGATTGCCCCAGCATGTCCAGTCAAGCTTTACACGGGCACCAGTACCTCTGCGACTGAAGCCTTCGCATTCGCTGCATTCTGGCCTCCTTGGTTGCGAGTGATAAGCAGCAGGCACATCACGGTATGAAGTACTGCAACTTGCCATCCTGCAGTATCCACGACGTATTCCCAGCAGATCCTGGCAGCAACTACTGCTGCAGGTGAAGGATTCCTGGAACAGATGTTTGGGGCCTGCTGCAGCATCAGGCATTCTGCAGTGGCAGCTGCACGGAAGCCAGCATCCACACGAAAGGCCGGTGGGACTCTCACACCCCTGATATATGAGCGCTGGGGCTGTGCCTACTTCACTTTCCAACTGTCCAGATGTAGGGCTGACTCGGACTGCTTTCGATGTTTACAAACCTGATCATACATGGCACTTGTACCCACTCAGACCGCCTCGACTCTGACAGAGTTTTTACACGCCACGTTTCAGGCCGCAACTCTGCAATTGGAGTTCGCCCGAGTCTGACTGCAAGCTCAAACTACACAGTTCCCTTCAGGAACGTGTGGATGCTAGATGTTTGTCTCCAAAGTTTGTGGCAAGTCAAGCGTGGCGGAACAAAGTGCGGGAATCCGCTCTGAAAAACCTGGCGGCCGTAGCATCAAATGACTAGCAGGAGTTGGTCATGACGGGCCACCGGAAACAGGCTCACAATCTGCGTGAAACTGTTTGGTTGCGGTTGAAGAGCTGCCTAGCTGATTAGCTTTGGGAACACCGGATTGCCTGGCGGCCTGGCGATGTTATTTTGATAAGTTGCTTCGGGTATGCACTCAGTCATCCTTCAAGGCAATGAGCTGGTTCGCCTTGTGAATGTCACACGGCCGAAATACCTGCAGACAGGCTCACCGATTCGTTCCTGTGCGCAGCACTCCCTGAGGTTCCCGGCCAGTTCGCGCATGGGAATATCCTCCTGACCACGTATGAGGTGCACATCTTATGAATGCTTTTATCATCTTTTATCACAGCAGCAGCCGTCATGCTTGGCAGCATGGCGCGCCTGTGATCCACGATTCGCTCACACAACCACATCATAACGAATCATAACTAAAAGACTTCGACAAGGCTGTACGAAACAGATGGCGGAATGCTGTCGCTCCTGATAAAAACACCCTATTTACATCTTTTGGAAGGCATTTTCCATTTCCACATGATACAGTCGGTGGTTTGCTTGAACTGCCGACTTTGTGCAATCATGCGATTCATGAGAGAGAGAGAGAGATATATATATATATATATATATATATATAAATGCACATATATAAATATATGCATATATGGAGCATATGTATATATATATATATATATATGCTCTGGTACTGATTACACTGCAAGCAGTACCCCGCTGACTGCTTTACCGCGACCGAGGTATGCGAGTTAGTGGCAAAGCAGAGGACTGCATCTTTGCATGCCATGTTTCGCAAATCGTGCAGCAGGTCGCTTCTGTACCTAATGTTTTTACTGACTTTCTATCTCGTTTTCAAAACTTTCTAAACCTTCCTCGCGTTCTCGCCAGAAATCAGCTGACACACTCACGTTGCAGCCCAGCTGGTGCAGCATCATATGTGCGCGGACACGTTTGGTTGCTTCGCAGCGGGCAACCCTGACACTTCAGACTCTCATCCACTCTGCATGAATGAATCCAGCCGCGGGCGATGTTGCGAGCCGTGTGACACTTGAGGCCGCAATCTGCATACAGTCTGGAAATGCAGGCGAGCCGGTCCTCCTCTGCCTCTTCCGTCTTGTTGTATCTCAGAATGTGGCCCAGGCGTTCCTGTCCCAAACATTTGAGCACATCATGCCACTGCCCGACGGTCAGCCCACTGTCCTTCACCACATCATCGTTCTGATTCTCGCGGAGGTGTCGCACAACATGCCACATACGCTTTGCCTCCCAGACAGAATGAAGCCGTGGTAGAAGGCCACGTCCCACAAGAGCGGGGTATATTATAGAGGATTTTTTGTGCAGTGTCCGCGGGCGTGGCCGCAGGCCGCGGGCCGAAGCCTCATGCCAGGCCGCGGGCCGCGGACAAACCCCAAAACCAGATGCTCAAACCCTAAACAAGGGGGGATGGTTGCGAAGCACCAAACCCTAAAAAGAGATGTTGGTTGACGCAAAGCCTGCAAAGTAGCTGCTATTGACAAGCCCCAAACGCGAAAAAGAGATGCAGAAACCCTAAACATAAGCAATTGTTGGGAAACCCAAACCCTAAAAGGAGATGTCGGTTGCCCCGAGGCCTGCAAAGAAGCTCCTCGGCAAACCGTGCTGCTGCTGCTGCTGCTGCTGCTGCTGCTGCTGCTGCTGCTGCTGCTGGTGTTGTTGTTGTTGTTGTTGTTGTTGTTGTTGTTGTTGTTGTTGTTGTTGTTGATGCTGACACTGCTGGTGTTGTTGTTGGTGGTGGTGCTCCTGATGCTTCTGTCGTTGTTGTTGTTGCTGTTGGTGGTGGTGGTGGTGGTGGTGGTGGTGGTGGTGGTGCTGGTGTTGTTGGTTTTTTGTTGTTGTCGTTGTTGTCGTTGCTGCTGTTGCTGCTGTTGTTGTTGTTCTTGTTGTTGTTGTTGTTGTGGTGGTNNGGTGGTGCTGGTGGTGGTGGTGGTTTTTGTTCTTGTTCTTGCTGTTTATTTGCGGGCCGCGCGGCCACGTCATGCATGGCCGCGTGGCCGCGGGCAGCGTGGCCGCGTGGCCGCAGGCCGCGGCCAGGTGGCCGCGTGGCCGCGCATAAACGAGACTATTGAACAAGACCGGAACTTGAACACTGTACTTACAGGATGCGTGCATTTCAACCTGCACACGCCCACCTACGTTGTAAAAACATCCACATGTATTTCTGAATTACTGCCCAATTGCATAGCACCTGAATGCGGCGACACATTTCAAGATCGCCGTCCGCGTGTCATATCCTTTGATTGAACCAGTCTCCTACACCTGCCCCGCAGTTATCGTGCCACTGAAGGTGAGAAGAGTGCAAGGAACGCCCACCGTCGTCAAACAGCATATTCTTCGTTCATGTCATGGGCTGGTCGGATGGGCGACGCCCAATCCGGCGCTCCGTAATCGGTCCCGACTGGGTGCACTGGTAGAGTTCACACCGAGCTGGCCCCCACTCCTGCTCTCGTTCAGCCTCCTTCTCGCCTCTCTCTCCCCGTCCTGTTTGTCGCCCTGTGCTGAGCTCGTCTGATCGTGTGTATGTCCTTCTCGGTTTGGTTGTATATGTTTCCGTGAGTGTGCCAGTGCCAGCGTCTGCCTGTTAGGCTTTTTCCCGAAAGCATGGCGAAGAATAGCATAGGTTTGAACTGCAAAGCAGTGGGTTGCGTACCGGGTAGTCCTTCGAGTACCGACCCTTCAGTGGCAAAGAAAGCAAGACAAACCTATTCTGGGGTCGCGGTTTCCGGGATGCTCTGTTGCTTCTCTGTGTCGACCCCCCCCCCCCCCCCTCAGCTAGAGCTTGCCAGTTTCGCCCCTCTGTCCTGATCACAGCCAGCAAGCGGTTGAAAATACACTTTCTCTCACTTTCTATCTCTGCTATCTGCTTCTGCCTTCATGCAGACTGAACTACAATGAAGCAAATTAGCCCTGGGGCCGATCTCCACGCCGGGAGGCCTCCGCTAGCTGTGTTGGAGTGAACCCACCAGCATTGGGGGTTTCCTTTGCATCAGCTCCAAGAAGAAGACGAACGACCTTACCGGGAGAGGTCTCAAACTACCTTACTTATTGTACCCGTGTTCGAAGCATGATTTTGTGTCAGATCTTGGTGTTCACAGTGTCTGCACTTCTGTCCGTTGCCATCATTACCCAAAACCAGTTCCGGCTTGTTGAGTGTAGTGAAGTGACCCAGGCCTTTCCATTCCCTCAGAGGGCCCGGGGGATCTGCGCACAGCACGTGTGGAACTGCATTGCATTCCCTCGCACCTTTTGTGTTCTTCCTTTGCGCTCCCCACGCCTCAGAATGCCCGGAAGTCACTAGTAATGGAGATATGCGGCAGAAGCCTCATGTAGACATCCCGTTGGTGGGACTCTCACGTGCACGGTTGCTGTGATCGCATCCGAGCAAGTAAGACTTCAATGCGTTCGTCGTCGTCCAATTGTACGGACGGCATGCTTGGAGCCTTGTGGCACAGGGTGGAGTCTGTCTGGCCAGCCACTTCCGATTGACATGCTTTGTTGGTTATGTCCTGCAGCTGACGACTTTGGTCTTCTGCCCCCAATTGCTGAGGAATGCCTTCAGGAAGCTGCACACGCTCAATCGCGCTGGTGAGCTGATCGAGGAATTGCACCCAATTGCCAAGCCACTCAGAGGGACCGGTGCTTGGCTTTGCGCTAAGCCAACACATGGTAGACTTCAAATCTTCCTTGGCTGCAGCTATGCGCTGGGAAGTCGTCTCTGCTTCCTCGCATATGCCAGAGACTTTGACGGCAATGCTTCCCACAGATGGCTCGTGCAGATACGGTGCTAAGCCGGAGTGAGCACGAGACGCCGCAAGACAAACTCGCTGACAGTTTGTCTCGGCCTCTTGGATGCATACACCCTGGGCCGCACGCACACTTTCACGCAGGTTCCATGTCTCGGTGCGAAGCTGCGCTTGCTGCTCCCTGGTGTTGGACTGACATACAGCCTCAAGCACAATGGCTTCGGCTACGAAATCCAACAGCGATTGCCCCGACACTCCATCTGCTTCGCTGTTTCCCCGGAGTTCGTCTAGTTTCAGCAGTCCATCTGGTAGTACCACTGCCCTTGCACCATCGCGAGCCGTCCCACGATTCAATGCATTGCCCACTACTAGGCATGTGCTGATACATTGGGAAATCAGCTCAGACGTTCTCAGGGCCGTGCAGGCCGTGATCACACGTTCGCATGCCAAGCCTAGTTCTGGCAGCTCAGGTGCCAAACCAAACATCAAGGCACCGCATGCCACTTTTGCCGTACACAAAGGTCGGTTGGCCAAGACCCACAAATATCTCTCCGGCACATCAAGGTGCAGAATGTCCGACTCAGGAATGTCCATGTGCCGAAGCTGCTCAACAGCTTCTTTCTGGTCGACCGATGCCGCCTGAAGAGCTATCACTGCCTCTGGCGGTAGACCCTCCGGAAAAGCATCAAGGCTCTCCACAGTTTGGGCGAAGTGCTCAGCTGGAGGTAGCTTGTTGAAGGCGATGGCAAGTAGTTGGGAAGTCCTGTCATCCAGCACTCGAACCTTTCTTCGTGCTTCATCACCGCACGCATTGCCTGACACTCCTTTGCGAGTGATTGCTGCTCTGGTCTCGGTCAGAGCAAAGCGACGCTCCAGCAACGCGGCGTCGAATGGCACCGGCTTGCAAATCCTGCTCCAGATGCTTTCGTCTGGGACATTGCCCACAGTCTGCCAGAAAAGAGGCCTCAGCTTCGGACCGACTTTCACTTGGCACTTAGCAGGTCCTGGCCTAGGCGGGGGCGGTGCCCCCGGCTTGCCCTTTCCTTTGCCCGGCGCCCTCCCTGGTGGCAAGCCCTTGCCTCGCTGAGACATGCGCTTTGGCACAGTGGCTATATACAGCGCTAGCACCACAGGGTTCTCAATACTTTGAGCCATGCCGGCAAGCATCACCAAATTGGCGTGGAGCAGCTGTGCTTGGTGGCTTTCGGACATATGGGCGAAAATGACTCGAGCTTGAGCAAAGCCAAACGATATGCTACAACATGAGTCCTTGAGTTGAGGAAGTGACGCCAAGATGACCAGCGTATGCTCCGAGATGGAGTGGACTGTCACCACCACCTCGGCCAGGACCGGCAAACACTTAGATTAAAAGTCATCTTCAGGTTCGGGGAGCAATGCCAGCTTTGCCTTCGATCCTCGGGAATTGCCCAAGGTAGCATGACAAATGCAATTTTCGGGCTTCTCCTGTCTCCTTCCGGACGGTTCCAGGTGTGCAAAGCCGAATTACTATGAATTAATACTCCCTGCCACCTTTCGAGCAGAACATGAAGCTGTGTCCAGCCTTTCTGCCACAACCTTTCGCGCGCGCCTTGCTTCGCGTCCAGTCTCTGCTGCTTCGTGTAATCGCTGAGCATTTACTTGTCACAGTTTGAATTGTCTGCGAGCAACATTTACGGTGGATCAGTGGCAACTGATGAGCGTTAAAGCGGTCAGTCCCGCACATAGGCCAAGCGGAATCCATGTAAACCTAAAAGTATCATGTTTTCGGGATCCATGCTCCTGCTTGTGTGCTGCACCAAGCCTGCCGAGACGGCTGTTGAAGTTCCCACGGACGTAGTTCTCCGAAGTCGGAAAAAGAGTGCGAAAGCTTCGTCACGCCAAGCGAAATCCGATGTCGCCCTCCTGTCCGCATTCGCTCGCAAGGGCCTTCACAAGCCAGCAGTTTTACTCCTTTCGGGGCTGACAGATCGAACACGTCCGATTCCTATGCCCGCTACACCACCCGACAAACACCAGGAAGCCCACAGGACTTACCCCAATTTTCGTCAAGTGCAAGGTCAGCATCTGCGAAGAAGCGATGTCTCGCTTGCATTTTGCCTGCCTGAACCACAGAAAACAAGCATGTCTGAAGTTGACAAACAGGAAGCGCCATGCCTTTCAGCGGCTTGTGCAGTGCATGCCGTTTTGAAGATGCATCGAGTGTATATTCAGACCACTACCTCGGGGAGCTCGGGTCACTCCCCCAGCAACCCTTTAGTCTCTTCCTGCATTTTCCTCCTGAGTTTGGTTCGGGCACAAAAGTTCTCGTCAGCACCCTGAACATCCGCCAAGACCACTGCTAATCTGGTTCCTTTTTCTCTATACAGGCTACCGGCCGCCGCCAGCTGCCGCTAGATGTCAGACATCGGAAAAGGAGGTCACGTGAAAATGACAGCTGGTGGGGCCATGCCAAAGCCTTCGCTGCAAGCGTGAGCCTCAGCCTGGGCGACAGGCCTCGAGCGAGGAAAGGCCTCGACTTCAACTCCAGTCCGTACGGAGATCCCGGTCATGCCGCGGTCGCGAGCATGATGCCGTTGTCATGTCGCCTCTTCTTTCGCGTACATCAATGGTGACCGGTGGTGAAGATGTCGAGACTGTGCACTAGCCAGAGCCCGGTCGGCTACTTGGCTGCAACAACAAACTTGCTGCAAAGACTTAGCGGGGTCTGCGCTAAAACTGTACAGTGACACAATCCAGGAACTGAAGGAACTCGCGCTGGGTTCGGTGCCATCTTCCTGGACAACGTTGAGTTGTTCTCGATATTCAGTCAGGAAGTAGTGCCTCGATTCGCGTGCTGGTAGCAGGATGCGAGACACGGCGGCTGCTGAGCACACAGCATCAGGAAATTGTTGCCGGACAGAGCTGCCCAGTGCAAGACCTTGAATCTCCGGCCGGGGATACCACAGTAGTTCTGGGATCACTTGCATGAGCGGCCCGAGTACTTCTTCGGCTGTGCTGCCGCAATATACCATTGGGATATCTCAGCACGGCACGCCTCTTCCAGAGTTATCTTTCTCAGCGATGTTGGCTTGCTGCGATAAGCAGAACCTGGTCACGACGCTTGGCTTCGGCCGCTCCTGCTGTTGAAAGACCCGTGCAAGGGACAGTAGTGACCTGTCCAATGAAACTGTCATAACTCTGCCCGGCAGACATTGCAAGCTCCAGGGAGCCAGTGCGTGCTGCGCGTAGCAAAAGCGTTGCTCCATCCCACCTCACCAGCATAGAGAAGTGCAGCTTTCGACGCAAGGCGGGAAGATGGACGACTCTGATGCCCGCCGTCCGAGGCCGCAACTCAGGATTTCTCCAATCGATTTTCGCTCCTGTCTTGAGAGCCTCACGTCTGCCACGGCTCGCTAAAGATTGACACCAGACACATTCACAGTTCTGGCCTTCTTGACAGATGGAAAGCTACTATCGGCCTTGTTAAGCTTGGCAAGAAATGCCTCAGAAAGAGGCTTGGGCAAAGTTGCAGCCGGAAGATCACACATCCGATTGTTGCCGCCTGATTAGTTGCTCCAGGCTCTTCTTTCTGCAGCCTTTTAATCTCATCCTGAGCCCGCAGTGGTGGAAACAGGATCCAACATGCAGTAAGAATGCGCGGGTCTGCCTTGATGTATTTCTCGCTGCCATGCACAGCCGTCCAAAGCTTTCTGCAGGCTGCTTCGATCTGCGCGGGCACAAACTTTGGGCAAAGCTACAGATCATCTTACAAACCGCTCCTGTTTTTCTTTCGGGTCATCAGATGAAGCAGAGGCAGCTACCTCAATAAAGGCCACGGCACATCAGCGCTGCAGAGGACATGCGAAAACGTGGAACGAACCCATCAAGAGCCCGGCCGTTTTCGAGCCAAGGGAACCCCTGACCATGAATCAAGTCTGCAACGATGCTGTTGCAGCTCCTCCGCTTCTGCTACACATCGACTGAGCTCTTGTCTTCGAACTGGATTTTGCAAGGCCAGGCAAACTAGAGGTCGAAGAAACATGCCAGGTAGGAGGCAGCCTCAAGCACTTTGCACATCCCCCACGCAAAATGCAAAGATCTAGGCAACACAACCCTTCACCAAGCAGGGCACGGTTGCACTGCTGCTGGCCATTTCTCGACCTGCACAGTGCCGCCAATCACTGCCAGCAACTAGCAGTTGACACTGAGAATGCGCGCCGTGCGAGATCCCAAAGTTGGAACTGATCTCGTCCGCATCCTGCAAGCAAGCAACTGTGGAAAACTTTGGAAAACGATTCTAAGCACCGCACAAGCCGGCAAGAAACTTAGCAAACGACATGGACGTCTGACTGAGATCTTCGAAGCCACCCGTCTTGCTGGTGGACTGGCTGAGCGAAGTCCTCTGGACTTCAACACCACGCTTTTGTAACAAATTGTAAGACACGACGTGTTGAAATTGCGGTGGGGTGAACGGAAGCCCAGGTATCTCTGATGAGTCTGAAAACCCAAAGCCACCCCGATGGTTAAATCGATGCATGCTAACCTTTGTGGGGCGTGCCGTTGCTGTGCGGGTGAGAGTGGAGCCGCTGTTGCGTACAGGGCTCGCACATGTTGCACATGCAGTCCAGATACTTCGTACCAGGCGGCCAGAATCTCTATGATGCGCCATGTATCCAGACTCATAGAAACAACGTTATCGGTTCTAGACAAGGGTTGCGGTTTCTGCCTCGGAATTCCCACACATCGATCTGCCACGGGCCCGGTCGTAGGCTGTGGTGCATAGGTGGTGGTCTTTCGCCGGTCGATGCGAGCTCTCCTCTGGTTGGTTGAAAATGGTCCACAGCTGATGGTCTCGTTTCGATCCATGTGGGCTCTCTTGTTGTCGAAAGACTCACCACTGGCGGGCTGAAGGCATGAAGAAGTAGTCTGCAAGAATCCCAAACCGGTCAAACATCACTCACGGGTGTTGCAGCGACCAAAACATTGATGCTTCTGCGGCCTTTGATTTTTGTAGCAATGGCAACAGGGCAGCCCAAGATAGCCCAAGAAAGACAGCTTGTCACGTAGAAGTTGAAGGCCTTATTTATGCAAGCCCCTCAAATTCTCAGGGGACTTTGTGATGGCCTTGAGAAGCTCTGCACGCTTCTCTTTGCCCATGGTCTGAATCATCCGGAACATAGTCATAGTCGAAGCAGCCAAATGACCTGCTTGTCCACAGCACAGACACTACTGGGAGCCAAAGCCCTTGCTGTCCATCGCTGCTAATGCTGCTAACCCCGCGCAGCAGCTTCGTGACTTCCACGAGGCCCCAGTAGGCGGTGCAGGCTTCCTCTGTTTCCTCGTCCTCCTCTTCCACGTCGACCTCCTCCTGCTCATCCCGGTCCTCCTCCGACATCCAGGCCGGGTGCTGTTTTCCACAGCGATTGGGTCCACAACCCTGTCGGGGGGTCCCGACCGAAGAAAGAGAGGCTCCACGGCATGCGCTCTCAGCTTCAATATTGTCAAGCTCTTTCTGCTCCGTTGTGAAGGCAGCCCGCACGTTGTGAAAGTCAGAGTATTGGCAAACCCACCATTTCAAGGAACAATTATTTTATGATTTCGATATGGTTTCGATATGGTTTCAGGAATCCTTCCGGTTACGATTTTTTATGATTTTTTGTGGATTACGATTTGGATACGGTTTGGATCAGATTTTGATACGATTTCAATACGGTTTGGATACGAATTTGATACGATTTGGATATGTCTCCAGCCTCCTCCAGGACTGGTTT